TACTCTTTTCTTAGAGTTGCCTTTTTAATTCCACTCAAGGTTGTATCAATTCCCAATACCAAGCTTGGTATTTATTGGGAAATGATCCCTTGATTCTCATTCCCCAACCAATGTGGGAGAATGTTTTATTTGCTAATTAATTTATTTCTAAAATAAATCAATAAATAAATGCAATCACAATTCGACAAGTATCAAAGGGAGAGAGAGTATTAGGTGAAGACCATGGAGAGGTGGGGGGACCAATGCCTTGCTCCCCAAGGCTTTCCAAAAGCCTTGGTCCCCACTCTCCTCACAAACCGCCTCACCCAAGGCTGCTGGCCAACTACCAGCTAGCACGCCAGCTGGTTGTGCCAGCTAGCCCAGCATGCTAGCACAAGCCCAGCAGCAGCGCTGATGCTTGCTGGTGCGTGCTGGCGCTGGTGCTGGCTGGTGCATGCTGGCGCTGGTGCTGGCTGGTGCGTGCTGGCGCTGGTGCCAGCATCCCACGCATCATCGCTGCTCGCATGGCCCAGCATGCGTGCTGCTAGCGAGCCACGCATGCTACCCTCTCGCTTCGCACCACACTCGCACATCATGCGCGCCACACATCTCTCTCGCACGCAATGCCTAGCATGCGTGCTGCTAGCGAGCCACGCATGCTTGGCTTGCCGTCGCTAGCTCGCCAGCCCCTCGCACACACTCTCGCACAGCCACACGCATCAGCCTCGGCCATGCACCGTGCACCATGCACGCACATGCCTCGCCCAAGCACCACGCATGCGCCAGTGCCTAGCACTAGCTGTGCTTGGTGCGTGTGGTCCTGCCATGCGCCCAACATTATGCTAGGGCTGCTACGGCACCAGGCCATCCTAGGGTACGCATGGTGCGCCTAGTGATGTTGCCTGGGCTGCGATGGTGCCCAGCCATCCTAGGCCACGCATGGTGCGCCTAGTGATGCTGCTGGCTTGCGATGGCGCCCAGCATCATGCTAGGGCTGCGATAGCGCCTAGGCATGATGTCAGGGCTGTGTTGGCGCGCCTGTTGCTAGCGTTAGCCAGCCATGGTGCCTAGCCATCCCGCTAGGGCTGCGACAGCGCCTAGGCATGATGCTAGGGCTGCTATGGCGCGCCTAGTGCCTATGATGAGCTAGCCTAGCCTAGCTATGGCTACGCTCATACTTGTCGATTGTGATTTTGCGACGCTCGGTCTCGACGCCCTAGGCTCGATGTCCGACGTCTGTATTCGTAAAACTCTATCGACTCATTAAATCCTTTCGGGTTAATTCGTCGTCTCGGATCGGCGATTCGATTGGGTTTGATCCGAAGGGTTCAGTTAAGATTAAGCTGTAATATCAATTGTACCTTGATATTACTAATCGGAAGCGGCCTCCACCTAGGCATTCCGATCACTTGACCTTACTGAAGAATTAGCTCTGTAATAATTCTGAACCCTCTATCGGAAGAATATACTTGTTGGAAGGACACCATTCCTTTCACAATCATGGCGGGGAATGTAGCTGTGGGTAATGACTTCTTTCTCCCCAGTCTCCTCATTAGACCGAACGATCACTTTGAAGAGACCCTTGTCCAGGATCTGCTCCCCGACCCTTCTTGGGACAGGCGGCAATTCAGCTCCGCCTGAGAGAAAATGGGGATGCCGGTTCCACCGGTTATATTTTTTATTTTTCACCCGGTCAGGGGAGGAGATAATGTAAAACTTGCTCCTCTAGTCCTTCCACTTGGACTCCTTCCCGACAGTCATCATGTAACCTTTGTGGCTTGAAAGGGTGTACCATTCGGACCCGCTTGCTTTCGGGGTGCGGTTAAGATAGTGCATCTGGGCAAAGGCCTCAAATTTTGGCTCTACCTCCAGCATCTCACATGCGGCAACGAACCTAGAATATTTACCCAGGAGTTGGGGGCAAGTTGCCAGACACCCAGCTAGTATTCGTCTAGAATCCTCTCCACAGCCGAATGGAGGGGGAATCGCAAACCAGCCTGAATGGCCACCTCATAGCAGCCAAAACATTCGTCCCCGTAGCTTGACCCTTCTGGCCAGACTACGGTATCCTCAACATCCGGGACGCTTATAATGAATCCATGTCCCATGACATGGTCAACTTTGAATTTCCCTACTTTGTCAGCCATAGCTTTCCTCCTGCCTGCGGGAACGTGGTGGTAATAGGCGGCATACTACTCTCGACGATGGGCAGAAGGCTCGGCCCATCCCTCTCCCACCTCTGCGGAGAGGGACTTTCTCGCATTCTCTAGACGAGAGAACTTTTCATCAGAGTCCACGGAGACTCTGCCAGAAATAGATGGCCCCGATTCACTGTTAGTGCTATCGAACCTAACGTCCGAATCACTGGGGGTATTTGGAGTACCAGGCAGCAAATCAGAAATTTCACTAACAGGCGCCCTAAAGGAGTTGTCCGGATTTTGTTGCCTGGATGTTTGTTTCATTTTGGCCATGGTGTCCAGCACAGACACAGAGACAATCAGATTCAAGGAAGTTCTCAAAGGGGAGTCTAAGAAGGGGCAGTCGACACTCCTAGTTCTGGTGACCGGCTGATCACTAACCTAGACCATGTCGTGTGCGTTTGGGAAACCATTTTCAAAAGAAAAGAAGTAAAATTAAAATAAAAAGAGAGAAAATCAGGCGGTTATCTTAGATTTGACGGTACTGAGGACACTTGAAAAGTCTTGGTCGGATGTAGAAACAGACGGAAAAGTTGCAGGTGGCAGATGCTTTTCTCATAAAAAGACAATTTCTCTCAAATTTAAAGATTCTCTGTTAAAGACTTTCTCGTAAACGTGCGAAAGTGAGAAGGCGGTGAAAACTATTTATAGAAAGGTTAAAATTTGGGAGCTAACCCTAATTTTACCACGGAAGGTGAGCAGTAAAAACTCTTCACCAATGTACAAGTGACGCCTGTCACAAGCGCCACGTGGCACGCCATGTCACCTCTGTGAGGGGAAAATTATTTGGGTATTTTACCCCGCCACGTGGACCAATCAGAGCATGACACGTGTCACCCAAGGGAGAGCCCAAAGTGGACCTACCAGGGCTAGACACGTGGCAAGCAGGTACCCCATACGGAATTGGCGGCTTTCAAGGCCCAATTCCCTAGACTGCCAAAAAACGGCGCAACCCGTCAATCCTAGGTTTCCGTAACCTAGGACAGGGGCACAAATCCCCATAACCCTATAAAAAGGAGATTTACCCCACCTTGGGGGGAGATTGAATCATTAAAAACACCTGATCTCGGAATCCGAGAAAATCTCGCTTTATTTTCCGCACTTTTTTATATTCTTCGTACACGTTCTAACTTGATCGTCGGAGGCAGAACTCCACCCAACCGGAGTCTCCGTTGTTTTGCAGGTACAGGCGCCCGGAGTCCAGACTTAGTGACATAACTCTCCCGAGAGACACAGAAAACCCTGAAACAGGTTCAAATATCAATGCTAACAATTTATATTTAAATTTATACGTATTAAAAAATCTAATTAAATCACACATGATTATTAGAAAAAAAATTACATTTGGTTTCTAATATATAATTTACAATTTAAAGAGACATGTTAACAAATATTTTATTCGCGCTACAAACTAAATTATGCTAAGTAGGTTAAATTTTATTGCACACGTAGTTGCTAAATATTGTGATCTCTTTGTTAAACATCAAAATTAATGGGATCCTACCCGGTTATCCAAATTAAATTATCTAATTAGTCGTAGATTTTAACCCCAATCTTGTTTAGCAAGTAATAAGGTAATCATGATAAAAGAAATAAAATATGTAAAATAATAATATTTGAAGCAACTAATGAAGCAATAATAACTAAAATTAAGCCAACAAAATAATAATAATAATAATAATAATAATAATAATAATAATAATAATCAAAATCAAAATTAAAGTATGTAGGGGCATAAAGAAATTAAGTATACAAAATTATATGATAAAATTAGTACTTTGATTGTGCAATTTGAAGACTACATCACAAATAAATTGTTATTAACATCAAGAAAATAATAAATAATTATTAATATCAAGAAAATTTTCAATTACTAGAAATCTAACATCAAATTTCTTGAATATGAGGTTTTGAATGATTAGAAACGCTAGATTAGTTTGTTAAGGCTCTTAGAAAAAAATTATAAAATTGGGGTAATTTTATATAAATATGAGGAATCAGATAAAAAATAGTGTGACACAAGTTCCATGTCACGCTGATTGGAGCAGCTTGTCATGCTAATGCTAAGAGTTGAATTTGAGCCCTATTTAAGTCTTCGTATCTTTTGATCCCAAACTTAAAATATGACGATGATATAATGTTGGAAATTTCTAGATGTCTTCTCTCTAAACCAATTAGAAGCAAATCAATATCATTTTTAGATTTTAAAATATGGCCAAAATAGTACAAGGGTGTCGGTTTTGGGCCCATTAATATTTTGCTTCTATCGTGTTCGTTTTAAATCAGAATTGGACTTTTGATACATTGTTGGAAAGATTTCATCACGGGATATTGAGCCATATAAGCTAAGTCTCATATAAAAATTCAAGGCTTTGGAAATCAAGTTTGCTCGACTACAGGCTAAGGAATTAAGAAAATGAAATTAAACTAAGGTTTATGGATTCTAGGTTAGAAAATTATAAAGATAAAGGGTTTTGGGCTATGACTAAGGTATCTATACTAATCTATTAATATACATTCATAATAAAGTCTATGTGCCACGTGACACCCTCCTATTATACAAAGGCATTGAACACGCAATCTTTGAAATGAAAAACTAGTTAGTGACCCGGGCAATGCCCCAAGTTTAATTTTTTTTTTTATGATTGTAGATATAGTGATAATTCAAACTTATAAAAGAAATTTAACTATTACTTTGTATTACACAAATTAAGAGAATCAATTCTTGTATATGACTATAAAATTTTATTCCACAATGTTTTTTTGCTAGAATTATCTACCTAGAATTTGAAAGATTATTTCAAATTTTAAATAGCATATATATTGAAAATCAAATAGCAATAATAATAAAATTCGGTAAATGCAAAACTAATAGTTAGAGAGAGTAAATAACAATACCCTTTTGTTGCTTATCCTACTACACCACCTTTTTTTTTCTCCCCCCCCCCTTTATTCTGCTCACGGTCTCCCTACCCTACTTAATTGTTAATTCTCACATGCATCAGGATATTTTATTTATCAGGTAAATTATATAAAGAGTCCTATCTATGTCTCATTTTTTTTCATTTTGTGATGCTTCTTCGTTATTTGCAGGGAGTTGTTGTTCTTCTGCATCTTCTCCTTGCATAGGGTTATTTCCAGAGTTAAGAAGCTTCTTTTGTTCAGTTTTCCTGTCAAAATCTCAAACACACACAAGAAACTTAAAATTCACAACAACAAAAAAGGCTCAATTATGTTCAAAATCACAAACTATCATGCAATCATCACTTAATCATATGAAATTCAGCTCAAAATCAATTCGAGAATCACTCTGAATACTTCAAATACATAGATTAAGGTGATCCACTGTCAAAAAATCCACAGAATTACAAAAATTCTACTAACACCTAGTTGATATACTATTGAAATTAACTGACATTGTATTATAGGCATGCACATCTAATCACAGAAGGTAAGATGACAATATAACAAACGATCAACTTGTGTTTTTTTAAAAAAAAGTGTAGGAAGTCATATTAGAATAACCAATACAAAATTTACCTTTCTTTATTCTGGTTTTAATTTCTGAATATGATCAAAGACATTTAGGTAATATTTTTTATCACTACACGACAATAGCTATCGCCACAAATCAATAAAACGTTACTTTGTGAGTGAAACACCTTTGCTTGATCACTCGACCGTAATAACTACAAACAAAAATCAATGAAATATGGAAACCCCTTAAGTGTTAAGCACAAAAAGAGATGAGAAAAGTATAAAATCAATGTGAATTGTCGCCTGTTATTCTATAGTCAAATCGCCCGAGAGGCCGGGACAATAGCTACGATGACACACCTTTGCTGCATAATATGGCTAGTTTTATAGTGAAAGGTTAAGTGTTAAAGTACTAATCTCACACATATTAATTTTGCCATCAATTCCATAAATTTAGCCATAATATATGTAACTGTTATAAAATGAGGTAATTTAACAGTGTTGTCTAATTACCTTTTTTTCAATTTTTCTTAAACTCTTTTAATGATTTGAATACTTAATTGAGTCAAAAATAATATTGCAGTCACAAACTTCATAACGATTACTTATTCAACTAATTTATAATCTTCTTAATTATTCTATTTAATGTTTAATTATAATTTTACAATCAAGACAATTAAATGGTTTTATTTAACAATCAAGACATTAGAAACCCAATTTCACTTAGGATACTTCATAATATCATAGATCAGTTACCTTTTTTTGAGGGGTTGCAAGTAAATGCATCTTCTTAGCCCATTGTCAGGTACCGTCAATTGAAACACCTGGATAGCGCCGTCCATGCTGCCGAGGACCCAACCTTCACCACGACGGACATGGCCTTCCCGTCCTCTATAACGCCGACCACCAAAGTACGAACACCGCGAATCTGATATTGTTTGGAGTTTTCCTTGGTTGAACCATGAAGAATCCATTTTAATTTTGATAAAAAAAATTAAAAAAAAAAAAGACTTTGGGACTTTATGTGGGTTGCTTTTGTTTCGTGAGAAACAATGGATTCACAGTGAATTGTTAGGAAGAAGACTGAAGACCAACTTTTTTTAAAAAAAAAATTTTTATTTTATTTTTTGAAAGAAAACAATCTTTTAGTAATAAATAAAAGTAGATGTTGGAAAAAGAAGTCATATAATATGCACATTTTATAATAAGGTAATGTAATTAATTTTTTTTTTTTTTTTTTTTTTTTTTTTTTTACGGGAAGGTAATGTAATTGGGTATATGATTAAGGGTTTTAATTATGCCTTAGTGGTATCTTTTTTGTAGAGACATTGCTATTTTAATAGAGTGAAAAGGTTTGATGATGTGACAATTTGATGATGTGGCTAAATAAGGAAAAGAAAGTGACACATGGCGGATTGGAACTCCTTGCCTTTGAGTTTTAATAATAATATTGATATTGATGAGAACTTAACTACCATTCCAATATAACAACAATGTTTAATGATTCAAAATAAAAGATAATAAAGTCTTAAAATTATTTTTGTAAGAGATTTAGATAAATGGTTAGACTTCCTACACATTTCTTAACCTATTTTATTGTAAAAATCGTACTTGTATTACTATAAGCTACTTTTTCATTCCCATACTAGCGTGTGGCTCGAGTGATGCTCTGAGTCATTACTGTAACTATCATATTGCATCACAAATATTATTAAAAAATAAAATAACAATATATATATATAATTAAAAACATTAAAGGGAAATTCTACACAGTCACCCTTAGGTGTTCACTTTTCCACGTTGTGCCCCCCTTTTAAAAATTCCACGCTGTAACCTCAAGGTTCATTTATTGACTACGCTGTAACCTTGTCGTTAACCCTCAGTTACATGTTGCCATTAATGGGGCCCACTTTACACCTATTTAATTTTTTTTTTTCTCGATTTCCGTGCTTAAAAAATGTTCCGTTAAAGGTTTTAAGGGTCATTTTGGTTCTTAAGGGACCAAATTGAGCTCGGATTTTGCAAAAAAAAAAAAACGTAGAAACCCCATTTTGTGAATTCGAATTTCCGTAGTTAAATGTAAAATTCACAAAACAGGGCTTTTACGTTTTTTTTTATTTGTCAAATCTGAGCTCAATTTGGATCCTTAAGAGCCAAAATGACCCCTAAAACCTTTAACGGGATTTTTTTAGCACGCATATCGAGAAAAAAAATATTAAAAAGTGCAAAGTGGGTCCCACTAACGGTGACTGTTACAGTAGGATAACGACAAGGTCCATGTGGAGACATAAAAGTAAGTTGAAGGTTACAATGTGTAATTTTCAAAAGGAGGGGGCACAGCTTGGAAAAGTCAATACTTGAGGGTTATGGTATATAATTTCTCAACATTAAATATAAAATTATAACTAAAAGTTGACTAAGATGAATAGACTTTTAACTTAATTATTGTTGACAATGAGTTCAAACTCTATAAAAATCATTTTTATTAGCATTGAAAAATGTTGATTGTGAATGATGTGGCATGTTTATAGTGTTTGAGAAAGGTGCCAGTGGCACATATACTTTCTTATAAACACCTTTTAATAAAGAGCACACCCTAGTTTATCTGATAAACGAAAAAATATTAATCAGTTTTTTGGTAGGCCATGCTTTGCAATATAATACACTTTATTATTGCTGTTTTACAAAAAAAGAAAAAAAAAGCTTAGATCTTGCATCACAAACCACCACCATCAGCCCATCATCTCCGTCTTCCCCCTGTCATCTCGCCGGTCGGTGGTCATCACGAAGCCATCGCACTACTATATCACTATCCCCTTGTCATCTCGCCAGTCAACCACGAACCACCACCATCATCTTCGTCTTCCCTTCTTTGTTTCAGTCGCCATCACCATCACAGCCTGGAGTTCCTCTCCAAAAGTTCCTCTTGGCGTCCCTCTTTTTCTTCCCTTCCTCCCTTACTTGTTCCTCCTTCCTTAACAACCACCTAACGCCGCTTTGCGGCGATAACAAAAAGACACCGTAGTAGCAAAAGGGAGTAAATTAGGGCCATATCAACCCCTTAGGGCAAAGGGGTGTATAATAGGGCAATTTGAATCGCCACAGGCGGTGGTGTGCAGCTTGCTCGCGTGGAGGATGAGGGTAGATTGGCTGGTTATGTTGGAATAAAGAATGGAGGAAGAAAGTGATGAAAATACAAATTTGCCCCTAGTTAAATAAGTGAAATGGCACAAATACCCCCTGATTTCCATACCATGTTTATCAGCCTGATAAACTTGTATTTTCTCTTGAATAAATTAGTATAGATTATTAAGGGTGTTTATTCAAAATATCAAACAATTACTTATTATGTCGTGACATTAAAATTTTTTCTCACTAAACAAAGATTACAAAAAGTTACTTGGGGCATCGCCCGTAATAATCACTAGTTATGGGTATCAAAAGACTAAAATGAATTTCCAAACAATCCATAGGCTCCTTTTGCGTTCAGACAAATTAAAATTAGGTAATGTACAGAGTACATTTCAATTACCAAACAATACTTGGGAAGGCACTATTTAGTGTCTACAAGAACTTAAAAAATAACAAATAAAAAATGGAGGTAGTAGCACGTAATTTTGTATCTATATACCATTATACCAATACATTGTATCATACTATCATTATAGGAATGCATTCATCTGATTTCCCTACTTCAGATCATCAAAATCACTCCCCTTCCCTAGTATTTTACAACATTCTTAACATTAACAAGTAAAAACATCTAAAGAGTTAGTGTGCATGTAGAGAAGGGATGGAGGTGGTGGTACTCCCTCCGTGTTTTAATAAGTGTTATACTTATCAAATGAAGTATCTTATTATCTTTCTTTTATAATTTTTTAATACTTTAACTACCCCAATTACCTATTATTTAATTTTAGTAAATTAAATTGCGTAAAATTATGTGCCGGTTAAAGTGTATTTCTTATTGAAACACAAAGGGAGGGAGTAGAAGAGAATATTTGTATGATTGTGTGTTATTGCGTAGAAAATACACACAAACACAGGCCTTTTCATTTCTTTTAGAAAAGATTAGGCATATGGCTTAGTTCCTTTTGTCTCCTTTTTTTACTTCTTCTACTTCTTATATATATATTAGCTGGCTTTATATATATGACATACACAAGATAAATTTTGTAAATTTGATGATCTAATAGTTGGTGGGAACCTCTTCAAACTACAAAGTACAAACCGCTAACATCCAAAACCGTAAACGTAAGCTTTTTCAATTTAAATTGCTACTTCTATTTTTATATATATTTTTTAATCTTATTTCGAAATTATAAAAATTTATTGTATTACTATTAAAAGAAAAAAACTGAATAGTTAAACCAAACGTTTACTCACCCATCTACCAACTGGGGTTTGTATTTCTTTATTTATACAACTTCACATACCATTTTCTACTCTATTACCCTCTTTGTTACTGTCTGATTCTCCCTTCTTTATGTATGTTTTGTTTATTTATTTATTTATTTTTTAATTAAAATACATAAATTTATTATTTTCTGGGTGTTTTTTTTTTTTAAAAAAACCAAAAATTAGATTTTGAATGATTAATTTGTGAATGTTGAATTGCAGCTGGAGTGGAGAAAAGGGAAATTGAACCCTTTTATTGGGAATTTGAAGGGAAGATTAAAGTTAAAGCAGATGCCTGTCAATCTGATTGATAATGATGGATTTCCCAGAGTTGTTTTGACTGAACCCATGGGATCATCTGCTGAGGTTTGATCTCTCTTTCTTTCTACTTCTATTACATTTATTTGTTTATCAATTTTTATTATAATTTCATTTCATAGTTTTCTTCTGGGTTTTCTCTTTTAAATTCATGTTTTTATTTATTTAATTTAATTTTCTTGGGATTTGTTTTTATACAAGTAGAATTACTGGGTTTTTATTCATTTTGCAAAAGCTGTAAAATTTAGTGTTTATATTTCGGTTTTTATATTTTGAGAAAAAAAGGGTTCAAGGGTTTCTGATTGATTGCAAAGCAAAGCAGAAGTAACAATTACTAGAGTTAACAGTAAAGTCACTATATTTGAGGTTTTCTGATCAAATGGGATTTTCAGTCAAATTTTAGGTAATGAACAACTTGTATGTAATCTGTGACTATTCTAAATTGGGGATTTTTATTATTATTATTATTATTTTTTTTTTTTTTTTTTTTTTTTTTTTATAAATATGTGAGATTTTTAATTCGGGTGATGAATAAATAACTTTGTTTTAATTATGTGACCTTAATTATTGTGAATATGATCGGTATCGTAGCTGCTTTAGAAGATGAAGGATTAAAGGAATCTCATACTTAATCAGAAGTTAGTTTTGTTTCTAAATATAAAGGACAACAAATTCTTTTTAAGGAGAAGGGCATGCATAATAATGTGAAAAATATTGTTGCAATTCAGTTCATAATTTTGTTTGACTGAAGACTAACTTCTGATCAATTATCTTCCAAAAAAAAAAATAATACTTTCTCCGTTTCTATTTACTTGACACGTTCAATTTAGGCACACATTTAAGGAGAGGAGAGAGAATGATAGAGAATGCTAAAGCAAGTAGGATACACTAAAAAAACAATGTATAAAACCTTCCCAAAAGGGTAACGTGTCAACTAAAAATAAACTTCCTGAATACGTGTCAACTAAAAAAATGGAGGTGAGTAATAATTATCTGCCGAAAAAAAAATTATCTGCCAAAAATTGCATTCTTAGTTCGAGAATTTGAATTTCCTTTGGTTTTTAATTGATTGCTTGGTAATCAAGCAACTGTGTATTGTAATGTTTTATATTATAATCTAAGTGACTACTGTACATAGCTGTATAGTCTGGGGAAAACTATGTTTTTTGGTGTAGCATCAAACAAATATTATAAGCTAATTTCATATGGCCATGTACATCATGTCATCGAGGAAGTAATTTGCATATGTGTTGCAGGTGCTACTATATGGTGGGCAGGTTGTTTCTTGGAAAAATGAACGAAGAGAAGAATTGCTTTTCATGAGCAGCAAGGTAAGGGAGAATTTATGTATTCATATTAATTTAGATGCTAAAACATTTGGGAGTATAATTCCAGATATTTACAAAGTAAGTTGTAAAGGATACATGGTTTAAGATAATGAGTTTATTGCTTACGACTTAATTGTCGTATCTTAAAGTATGCATTGAGAATTTGATCTTAGATTTGTAAGTGTTGTATTGCTTTCTTTAAAAAAAAAAAAAAAAAAAACAAAAAATTGGTAGCCTGGTAGGGTGACATGAGAATAATGAGTTATGAACACTGACTTAAAAAAAGTTATGCTTTTAGAATTTTCCTTCTGGCTATATTTGAGAGAATAGAACGAGTGGACAAAGGATAGGATGGGATCTATTCTAGGCTTAAAATATGCAAAGGTAACCAAACATCTTTTTCCCTTTCTGTTGCCCTTTAATGGATGAATGAGGAGAAGTATCACTTTCATCTTTTAATCAGGATCACTATTTTTTTTCATGGTCTTCTTAATCGCCATTTATCGGCTTGAGGATTCCATTCTTCGTCACTATCATCTTAATGCAACAAACAATGCCCAAATTCTCTATAATTACCAAAAGGGTAGTTTAATCAACAGGAGTATTGCTAATATTTTAATTCACAGCTGGTTTGAAAACGCCTTATCTAAGCTCTTTGGTGAATCAGCTGAATGCCATTTGCATTGGAGAAGATACCATAAATGGTGCATATGAGAAAGATATAATGCATTTTGCTTGAATCTAATTGAACTATGTAGAATTGGCAGGATGCAAATTCATCACTAGCTCTTGAAAATCTCATTGCTATTCCATCTTCAATAGCATCTTAAAAATAACTAACTTTTGGTATTTAGGATGTGCTTATACTTTTTATTATTGGATTTTGGTATAGATTCCTATCAACTTTACAAAAGTTTCACCACCCTGTAGATTAGTTATAGATATCCAACTTTTACCTAATTAAGCATGGCCTAGCCTAGCCTAAGCTAGCAGACATTATTTCTCTGAATCACTTTTTGATGGATGACTACAAGGAATGATGCTTGACAGGCCATCTGGAAGCCACCGAAAGCTGTTCGAGGAGGGATTCCTATTTGCTTTCCACAGGTTAGCTTGAGACTAAGGAATCAAAATATCATCGCTTTCATATATTTTGAAAATCTGCATTCTTATCAGCTTTACTTGTTTTAGTTTGGAAATTTTGGCTCACTTGAGCGACATGGATTGGCAAGGAACAGGATGTGGTCGCTGGATAGCTCTCCTGCACCTTTGTCTCCTGCAACTAATAATTCGACTGTGGATCTTTTATTGAAGTCCACTGAAGATGATTTGAAGACATGGTCTCAGAGGTCTGCTTTTATTTCAGTTTCACCATTTCAGATATAAAACAGCATGTATACTAATCATTGTTTGTTGTCATTCAGCTTTGAATTGAGGCTTCGAGTTTCTATTAGCTCTGGAAAGCTCACTTTGATTCCTCGTGTGAGAAATACGGACAACAAAAGCTTCTCATTTATGTTTGCCCTGCGTAATTACTTGTCCGTGTCAGATATAAGGTTTGCTATCGATACCCTTTTGTCGGAACTCAAAACTATCTCATATCCTTTCCTTCTTGGCAAAACTCGTTCCTAGACATTTTGCAACTGTTTATTATGATGGAACTGATGCTTTTGTCACTTCTGTCAACTTCTGTTGCTGCTTTGGTGGTTTTTTTTAGCTTTACAAGCAGCGTGATTACCTTAATAATTTGGATGATTACATGATTCATTATTATTTGCAGTGAAGTGCGCATTGAAGGCTTGGAGACTCTAGATTACCTTGATAATTTGATGAATAAAGAGAGGTACACAGAGCAGGCAGATGCAATCACTTTCGATGGTGAGGTACTTTATTAATCACTTTTGTCTACCAATTTGAGGTCATCCTGTATAATAGGCATTTGAGAATATTAGTAGGATTATAGGAGTGTTACTGTTATTTCCAATCTGTAATGGCTGCTCTATTGTAGGTTGATCGTGTATATCTGAGAACACCATTTAAGATTGCTATTATAGATCATGAGAAGAAGCGCACCTTTGTGCTGCGTAAAGACGGCATGCCTGATGCAGGTAATGTATATGTTTCAAATTTTCAGTTTTTAAGAACTCGCTATTAAGATTCTCCTTATTCAAATCTGATATTGAGTAAAATATTTTGCAAAAGACAGCTCATTAAAAAAAAATAAAAAAATGTAAAAAGGGGCTAAGAATTGGGTCTTAGGGCCAGCAAATTTATGGAAATCAAGTAGACTAAAACTGAACAGTTCCAGATTTGATGTTTGAGGTTAAGCACCAAAGCAATTGTTTGTTGCTTTACATAATTTGAGATTATGTAACTAGCATGGGGAAAGGAAGTTTGCCCTTATTTCTATTGATTATTATTGAAGGCTATGCTACAGCTGAAAAAATGCCATTCACATGGGGTGTTGCTGCGGTTTCGTTCCCCCCCCCCCCCCCCCCCCCCCCCCCCCCCCCCCCCCCCCCCAGCCACCCGTTCTTTCTGAGACTTATTTTACTGAGCTCAAAATAACAAATCAGCCTTTGAACTCTGCATGTTATAAGATTCAGATTCTATTACGTATCATTTCCAAAATGTATTGTCAGGCATTTACAGGATCCTTAATCTTATTGTACAGCTGTTTGGAATCCCTGGGACAAGAAAGCAAAGGCTATTCCCGACTTGGGAGATGAGGACTACAAATCCATGCTCTGTGTAGATTCAGCTGCGGTTGAATCAAACATAGTCTTAAAACCTTCAGAAGAGTGGAAGGGATATCAAGAACTCTCAACTGTATCTTCAAGTTACTGCAGTGGCCAGCTTGATCCCTGTAGAGTTCTTTACGGATTTACTTGACTTCATCCTCGGATATAATAGTTCTTAATATATTATGATTTCTGCTCTGTTTTCCTGATAGTAGACCATGCAGGTATATTTTGTTAACAGTTTTATATTTTGGCAGAACATATGAGGACATTTTTCTGTGGACTATATGTATTACCATGAATCTATAAAATGCTACTATGACCTTGAACTGACTGATGTTAGGCTTGATCTGTTGATTTTTTCTGGTGGAAAGAGTCGAGCTATCAGGTGAAAAAGCGTGGCTTAAATAACCATGACTGAGGAAGAAGATAGTTAAATGTTTTTTATAGCCCAGTGCATTTTCTAACAGTGTTTTGTCTATAAAATTCCCTCAACTTCAGTTAAAAGTTGAATCTATCCCTGTTAGATGATGTTCATGTCCTTCACGAACGCAGCAGCAAAGAAGCTACTTGAACTTAAAGATGGAATCTCAACAAGGCCATTTTGTTGTGGTGATGGCTAAACTACATATTTCTTGTTACCTCTTAAAGAAAATCAAGAGATTGTGCAATAGAGATTAATGAGGGTTTTTTAACGTTGTAAACACCAAAATATGTCTTCAAAAAAATGTCTGATGATGAAACATACAACACTGCATAATTTGGTCTGAGTTCAATAATGGACAAAGATTGCGTGAATAAAATTTGATCTAGGCCAAAGCCATTTTGTTCAATCCTACAAGCAGTTCAAAGCCGTTTTCTTGTTTGTTTGTTTGTGCTTGTTTTACATTCTTAGTTCCTCTTGTTAAAAAAAAAAAAAAAAAAAAGCCATTAGTTAAAACCCTTTGCTTATCCGAATCCATAAACCTTAAACCAGTTTTTCTCTTTTCAAACCTTAGCCCATAACTAAGCTGATTTAATTTCCATGCCTTTAGAATTTCCATATATATGCAACTTATTGTTGGATAGCCCTTAAAACTAGCTTTTCAATATATATCTTAAGACCAATTTTGATCGCAAATAAATGAGATATGAGAAAAATACTATACTAGGTCTAAAATCAACACCTTTTTCACGATTGGTTCAAAATTTAAATTCTAGAATTTTGCAATGATACATTATTTGCCTTATTTTGAGTTTGGGATCAACAACAGTAATCAATTTAAAACCTTTAAAGAAAAAGACAATTAATCTAAAAAAAAAAAAAGCTCTTATGGGTACATTTTAATGCCCAACAAAAGAACAACAACCCACAAATGGTGCTTGTCAGTCCATTTCTTAATTTCAACAACATGATATTGTCAAACCAAAAAAAAAAAAAAAAAACAAAAACCAAGAGCGTGGATGAAGAAGAACAAGATTCGAATCGGAATGAAGAGAATCCTAATTCGAAAAAATAAAAGAAAAAGAGTTAGTTGTGCTTAAGAGTGAAAAAAGATTACAGTTGTTAAATCCGGTAATGATGATAAAGTTGTTGAAATCAAACCCGAAACCAAAAGAGTTACTTTGAGACAAAGACAAAAACTTTCATGAAGAAACTTCAAGGATTGTGATCAAGAACAAGGAAAAAAAAATGTTGCGAAGGAGACGAGATTTGGACATCTCTAGCTAAAATTGAGTACGCTCAAGTAAGATGAGCTATTTATTGCAAAGTTTGTTGTAATACCCCGCATTTATACATTTTATATAAATATATATTTGTATAAATTTATACCGGAGTATTATAAATTAATTATAAAGTTTATAAAATATATATATATATTATGTAAAAATTATATAATTGGGGCTATTATAATTGTTGATTTGTTGAACTAGTTTTACGATTGGTTTTTCAATGTTGGGTTTTGCAGTGTCCGACACTGCGCGGAAACAAAACCCGAAAACCGGATCGCATGCATAATAATTACAACATAAACAAAAGCATGCAAATAAACAAATCACGAACACATAAAGAGAAGAGAGAGAAAAAAACTCACCCTAGACGCGAGCTAGCGGGCTGCTGCTAGGCCTGCTCGCGTGCTTGCGGACTGGTGCTAGCGCTGCTAGCATCGGCCTGCTCGCATGCCTGCGGGCTAATGCTAGCGCTGCTAGCTTTGAACTGCTCGCATGCCTGCGGGTTGATGCTAGCGCTGCTAGGTCGCCTAGCAAGGCAACGCGCACATGGCCCCTCGCTGCTAGCTTGCTAGCTCGGCTAGCATGCCCGGCCAGCGCACATGCGTGGCTGCTAGGCCTGCTGTCGAGGCTAGTCCATGGCCAGCAGTCATGCTAGCTAGTACGACCTAGTCCTCGGTTGGCTCGGCCAATCCGAGGCTAAGTCCGATGACTTGTTTTCTCGTCTCGTCGATTCCTTGAAACGACTCGACGTTCGATGCTCTAAGCTCGGAATCCAACGTCTTAGTTCGTAAAATCTCTATTGACTTATTTAGTCCTTCGGATTAATTTGTCGCCTTGTTTCGGTTACACGATTGGGTGTACCTGAAGGGTTCAATCAAGAGCAAGCCCATATTAACTATACATTAATATTACTGATCAGAAGCGGCCTCCAGCTAGGCATTCCGATCACTTGACCGCACTGAATAATTAGCTTTCCTAATTAATTCTGAACCCTCTATTGGAATAATACCCTTGTTCGAAGGACATCATTTCTTTTAATCTCCCACTTGTCCTTTCGGACAAGTGTGTTGCTTGTGTATAGCTTGTTTCCTATGTCACTTAATGTCTCTTCATGAACTATAAGGTAAGATTCTTCGTCATCCGTATTACTTCTAGAAGTGTTTCTCGATTTTTGAGTTCGACTGTCAATAAGTAGATGATTTCTAAAATCCATTTGAGCACGACCATGCATTTTCACAGTCTCGCTCTTCTAGTGGCCTTGTAAACAACAAAGACATATTCCCTATTTGTCAACAGGGGGACATTCCCAGTCTTGCATTGTTAGCTTCCCTTACTAAGAGGCCCTAGCCGCCCGAGTGTTGCCTTTATAATCCCCTTGTACGGCAGACGTTTAACAACATCAAAGCGGACTAGTACTCAAACAAGAGAACTAACAATACTCATGGTTGAGGAAAGAAGTTTCGATAGCCATAATGAGTAATATACTTATGATGATTGTTAAATCTCTTAAAGTATTCTCATAGGTCGATCCGGTATAGTTCCAAACCAATACCTGTGCAAATGATTTATGACATTCTTGTCCTTGTAGCACAAGAAACGGTGCTATAAATCATACTACACACTAATCTCACGTGGTCATTAGTCGTCTAACTTTCAAATGACCTTGATTTGGGATAATTTCGATATGATATTCAACGTTCACTTAATAGGTGTTTCTTTATCCAAGACATTTTCTTGATACTCTACATTGAATATCGTCAAATCGAATGGACTCGTTATTTAATTCTAAACCACAATTATAGTTTGTGGAATTATTAGTAAAGTTTCATTCCACTATGAAACTTTTTCAACGTTTTATGTTATGATATATGGTTTTTCCCAAATGTTTTATGAGTAATACTCTTTACAAAACATTTATAGAAATCATACCCATATCTAATATGCTTGATTTCTTTTATGCAATTGTGAATGTTGTGGTTCACTTATTGCATAGGTTTAGTTATCATTACTTTGCAAATCTTATCATCTTCATCATCGAACACTTTCATAATAAGATGATAAAATTTGAGTGTGTTATGGATTACATGTGATCTAGGATTAATTTCCCAAGTGATGGCTCCCACTCATTTTCATGATTTGAGACCTTCAACTTGACAACCTACAATCATGAAAGTTCAACAACGAACTATCCATTTAACAACTTCCTTATTATTGCCTCTAAGGCAGCAATGTTCTCAACATATATTTCAGTAGATTTTCTAATGATGCTTTGCTTGGATTTTACTCCAACCAGTTCACAATGATTTGGGATCATTTGTGATTATGGAATTTTACCTTAAATTTCCGCACAAAATACATGGACATAAGTCCATGTTGCCATTTTCAAGCCACGATGCGTCTTAACCTCGTGCTTATAAATGGCTTCCTCATCAAGGATCTAATCCTTGCTGAGGTTTTGTTTGCAACATCAATACTCAAATTATATTTGTTTTCATGCATTAAGAACTCATCCTTTTACTTAACCAAGTATTTTTGGATGATCATAATCTAATGATCCATTGCTTAGATTAAAGTTAATTGGTATTTTATACTTGTTATGCTCTGAGCATGCGGGTCATGTGACGATTCCATATCGTAGCATACATGATGGATTCAATTGCAGAAATATTCTCAATTTCATCCCATTCATGTAACTTTTAGCTCATCTAGTTCCACTGAGTCTTGCTAATTTGTTTTCTATATGATACGGTTGAAAGTCTCTACTAGAGTCTTTCTTGTTTGACTTAGTATGTTCTTAGCTTGTACTTAGTTCAAACAAATGCTTAGTTTTACACATATGGGTCAAAATCCTTTTCAGGTCCTTCATGTTTAACACATTAAATTCCTTTACTTGTTTAAATATTTCATTCAATCTATTCAATAGATCTTTATGTACTAAGTATCGCCTTTAGCTTGATCTAATATTGAAAAGTACTTTCAAATCTAAACATTTAGCATTTGATAGTTATTTTACAATAGAGTTCGTAAACTTCTTATTGGACCTTACAAAATTGACTTTAGCTCCCACTAAACTTCTTTATTCAAATCCATGTTTCTCAACAAGCCAAACCTTATATTAACTTTATGAGAAAATCCATTCCAATTCCTACATGCTTCCCTCAATCCACCAATGGATTTCTTGAGCTTGCTTTCAAATCTAGCATTATTTAGATTTACAAAACCCTTAGACTATATCCATAGTCTCTTCCAAAATCCCATTTTTAGGAAGGCGGTTTCGATATCTATTTTGCCATATTTCATATGCGCAATTTTGCTAGAATAATCACCAAAAAACTTAAGCATTCCGATTAGTGAATAGGTTTTATTAAATCAACGCCGTGAATTTAATTGTAACCTTTTCAATCAATCTAGCTATGTATGCATATACATTTCCATATTTGTTAGTTTTCTCCTTGAAAACTTATTTGCAATTGATGAGTCTTTACCCTTCATGCAAATTAATCAAGTTTCAAACATGATTTTCAAACATAGAGTCTGTTTTGGATTTTTATGGCCTCTAACCATTATTCAGAATTTGGATTTGTCGTAGCTAATTTACAAGACAATATTCTCTTACCATCC